AAAATAGGTATCTTAAGATATTTCCAGTTTAATATTGAAAATATAATTGAGCGCTTTCGGAATTTAAGCCATCATCGGAACTCTAAAAAAGTTAATAATGGACAAACCATACAAATTAAAAAGTACAACTCACTCTTATTCAAGATGAAATAGGAGGTAATGGGTCAACGTAGCACATTTTAACAAATTTTAAATCGACTAACAATAAAACAAATTGAAACAACTCGATTTAAGAAATTTCTCCACGTGCTCAGGCATGAACGTAGTACCAGTAATTGTTGTAAAGACTTTCGTAATAAAAGTATTTAACGATTGTAAGAAGAACCATTCATGATCGAAGGTTCGGTATTGAACATTGGGCCATATTTCTAAAACTGAAGGATATCCTTATAAGTATAAGGTAGAAGTATAAGGTTTTCAGTTGAAGAAAAGGGTAGGAGTCCAAGCATTTCCTTTTTTTCCAATTCATAATGATTACATTATACTTGCAAGGATATCCTCAAAAAATAAGTAAAAGGTTGTTGGCTTGTCCGTCGATGGTTTGTTATTTACGGTATTTCTTTCTTATCGGTGTTATTTGAGTACAGTACTTCGATCAGAGAAGATGTATTCGTCAAGTAGCGATAGTGAAAGTACAGAAAAAGATAAAACTACAACCGAACTGCAGTTCATAGCAGATGAAATTGCCAATGCCCCCGTGATTTTGGAAAAATCCCAAACACCAAAAATAAAAGCTAGAAAGGATGAGGCTATTAGAAATGTTACCAGGAAGTACGAGGTGACCTTCGGGAAAGCACTGAATGAGGTTTTTTAAAGAAAATAAACAATATGAAAGGAAGGTTGAAGAGAAAAACTGGAAATAAATCAATTTAACTGTTGGAGTGGGAGAAAAAGTTATTGAAGGCTATGGAAGGCGACAGCACAATTGGAAGAATCGGAGGCGCACTGCAAATTGGTATTGAAGATGGATTCTACTCAGCATAGAGTAAGTGAAGCTTCTATTATGCAAGAAGAGACTAAATCAGCTATGAAACCACAATCTAGTAGTGTCAAGACTGTAGAATCCCTTCTGCCAATAAGACAAAAACAGCAACAGAAAAGTACGAAACAAATGAAACAAAAGGACTCACAACCAAAGAACTTCAACGGCTAGTTCTTTTAGAGCAGTTTCGAACAACTAGAGTTCAAAGAGAATACTATGAAAAAAAAGTTGGAGAATATGAAGCAGGAGGAATCAGCAGCAAATATTGTTAACGAGGGGAAGTTAGCATACTACATCTCACCAAATTTTCTCGTACAACGTATTATATTGACAATATTAAATTATATATTATGTTTGATTTATTATTAATATTATTAAAAAGTTTGTAATAAAATAAAAATAGAACAGTTTGCGTTAGTGAATAAACTTAGAATTTTGTTTTTTAAAAACCAAAATGAAATGATGACGTAAAAAATAAAACTAAATTAAATTTCTTCTCACTTCTTGACCTTGCTGGCAAAGAGGTAGATCAACTTCGTCATTATTATTGGCATCTTCTTCTGGTACTTTTTCTTCGGGTGTTTCAAAATCGATGCCCATGCAACATCATGCCGTCATTATGACGTGATTTTTTGGTGTGCGTTACGTCATTTGATGACGTGAAAATAATGTTATGGTAACATGAGAATGTCACAGCGAAATTACGTCATCCCATATCGTCATTTTGACGAATCGATATCACGTTAAAGTAATATGTATATCGCGTGCCATAGGCTACGCAAATTGACGTCATCATCACGAATCTACCTAACGTCAAAGTGACGTCTATATTGGGTGTCCCAAGGTTGGATGGAATTATTAAAAATATTAAGCAGATGAAAATTATTTATTTAATCTAAAAAACACATAAAAAATATATTATAAAAAATAAATTACACTGGTAAATAAAAAAGTCATGAGCAAGAAACCAAAAGGAATAAAATGACAAAAGAATATTAGAGGAACTGACACAACATACCTAAAATTGTAGATTTGTTTTTAATTGGGGGTGGGCGAGCATGCTTTACCATTTCATCATCTTCAGTATCATCGAATGACAGCTTTCTAGTTGGCACCTGTTTTCTTTTGGTAGGTACTTTATCAGCCTTGGAATGTAGATCTGAGGTACCTTCGACTTTTTTTAATTTAGTACATCTGAAAGTACATCTAAAATAAAAGAACTATTAAAATACAGACCACTAAAAATTCTTAGAGACAGAAAGTAAATTGTGTATCTAGTTGTAAAAACTACCTTCTCAGAGGTATACATATAGTCTGAGTTTATAATAAAAGTAAATAAAAAAAAGATCATATATTCTGTGAGATGATAAAAGGTATCTAAATCAAGTGACCCCCTACAAATCTTTTATTTTTAAATAAACTTTTAAAAAAATACCCTGAAAGAACCCATGATCAAAAAATAAAAGTATAACATTACTTACCAGTCTTATATTATAGTATATTTCTTTATATATTTCTTTATAAAGGCGGCCAAAACACTTGTTTTTTACGCAGCGTCAGCCATTTTCTGCTCACCTCACAACCGCCAGACCGTCATCATCCGGTTTTTCAAACTCAACAATGCAATACATCTGTAAAATACCAAATTCGGTTTAATATACTTTATTATTTTATCACATTCTATTTTTTACCTTTTTTTAAAACATCTTATCAAATAAAGTACAATTTAAAAATGCACCACGTTCACAAGGTCACGACTGTTACTCACGAGGTTCATGAAGATGGAGGAAACAGGAAACAACAATGACAATTGACAATATGACATTGCCAGAAATATACGAAAAAAAAAATTATGACGAATTCTAAGTGACGTCTATTCTATGTCATCAATGCGACGTCAAATACACGTTACTGATTAGGATATTGTATTTCGGCTAAATTAATACCAGAAAAATTACGTCATAATGACGAGTCTGTATTGACGTCTAATTAACGTTGCAAAAACGACGTCAAAGTAACGTCTTTAATTGGGATAGTGACGTTTCTGACGAGTAAATCCAAAAAATCACGTCATAATGACGGTACTTGCTGCTTGGGTGTCTTTCAAAGTTTTTGCCACGTTATGAATCACAATACAGGCAACAATTATTTTTGGCACATTCTCCAATTTCACTCGGCAAACATGTTGGAAAATAGAAACTCAACAATTCAGTTGACCAAAACAACGTTCAATTATCACTTTTTCTTTTTTCAAAAGTTTATTATAATTTAGTTCAGCACCTGGAGCGGGATTTCTGAATGGAGGCGTGAGCCACGGCTCTATACCATATCCATTATCAGCAAGTAGCACGACGTTGTTTTTATTTTATAAATAAATCCTCGTTTTTGAATTTCTCCATATTCTTGAATCGTGGACCGATCCAGGCCAACTAACGTCAATACTAGTGAAAATTTCTCTTGCATCACAAGTGGCTTACACATTCAGTGTAGGATGACCATTTCGGTTAACATACTCATCACCATGCCGATTTGGTTTCAGTATACCTACCTACGTGGGTACAGTCAACTATTCCAATTGCTGTAGGAAACTTATATTTGCTTTCCATAACTATGATCGAGTTTCAGCATTCATTCCTAAAAATCTGTTGGCAAGCCATTGCGCATTTTCCTCTCCAACCCGATATAATTCTTTGTAATCACGAACAGGTGTTGATAAACGCTGCTTGTAGTGTTTAATCCCTCTCAGTTCCACAACATCTGAGTCTGCTACTGACCACACTCGAAATTAATGAAGGATACCCTTTTTATTTAGGGTATTTATGAATAACCAAATACTTTTCGTGAAGGATATGCTCATACTTTATATTCTGCAAGTTTAAGCATACCTAACCTTTTTTTTATGAATACGGCCCACTGTCTATTTCTTTTTAGTTGAAAGTAATAATTAATCATTGGGGATAAACACCAAACCATATGTAAAGTGAAGAGCGAATGACAGAGACTTGACATTGACAAAGTGTCAAGACATTCTGCTAACATCAGAAAATTTTTTGTGAAAATAAAAAGAGATGCTATTTTTATAAATTATTTTTATGATTGACCCGAAATTGCGAAAATTCGTTTTTTGAAAATATTTAAATTTCTACAAAGTTATAATATAATAACAATTAAATGACTTAAAATAGTGGAAAACAACATTAAATCTAAAAAAAAACTGTCATGGCTTCAAATATTCATATTATCCAAATATAGATATTTATTTCATAGTTATGTCAATTAGACGTCATTGAGCGAACTGTAGGTACCAGTAGGTATTTTTTTCATTCATCCAATCAATCATTCAGCTCACTCTGATTTATATCGTTCAATTTTCGGGTGTACCCAACGAAAATCCTTCCGGGCTTACCTAGGTAATATAAACTCATGCATTCCGGAGACCAATAACTTTTCTATCAGGCTAGACCACTCCCACCGTGCGCCGTAAGGAAGCGCATTTCATATGACCGGCTTGTTCCGGAAAAAAATGATCACGCCCATTTTATAGTTATTAAGTTCCGTTTGCTGTACTCGCGCAACGCAATATTCGGTCAAGGATCCAAAATAGTGGGTCGGAGTGTTTCATGTAACACGCATGTCGATTTTTTTTGTTCGATTCTACTGGATGCACTTTTAGTTTTCAAGCGACCAGTGGCGGACGATGAACTGCCATAAGTTGGGACGGTATGCGCATGCACTATTTCGGAATATATGTACGATTAAACGCGCGTAATTGCAGAAAAAACTATAAAAAATGTGATATGAAAGTAATATTTTTAGTGCAACGAATAAGTGCCTATATACCCCAAATGTTAACGCTTTCATTTGTATAGCACATAACATTTAACAAATTTATGCTTCCAGTAAAAATAAGAATATTCATGTCATTATAATAGTGTCATTGGAAAATCAGTTACCTCGCACTGGACTTTTGTCTATATTTAGCTAGTTACAAATATAGATTTCTAAAAAAAACAACAAAGAAAATTATAAATAATTTTTATAAGTGCTGTTACTATAACGTAAGGGGTAAACAAAAGCGTTATCATAATAATTATTGATACAAAGAGAAGTATCAATATCGTGTTTTATAAGCAGGAATTTTATAAATTCGTAGGCATCAACAACGCTTAATCTAAAACCAGTGAACTGGATGTGCGGTCAAAAAATTGGCGCATTGGTACGATTCAAATAGAAATGGTGTGTACAAACGAGTGGATGATTGAAAATATTACACAAACAAAGTGGAAGTCATATTGAACGTTCATGGTAACCTTTAGATATAAAATAAGCCCAACTAGACGAACAGACATATTTTTTGAGACGCATGGATCTTTTTTATGGTACGGAAAGCTCATTTTATCAACTAACGTGTTCAATAATTTTATCTATTACCTACACATAGGCGCCGACTTTTGTTTATATCTGACGGGAGTCGTACCAACACGTGAACTAAAAAAAAAGGTCGCCACCTCTCTCAATCCATTGTGTATTTAATTTTTTTAATTTATTTTAGCTAAAAAGGGTCTCCATCTAAATGTATTTTTTAATGTTAACGATTTTCCGGTTTTTTTTAATTTTTTTTTTTTTTTTTATTTTCAATAGTCTTTTGAACAATTATTATTTGTATTAAGACAGAGCACACCCCCAGAACAATAATGTGCAGAAGAGCATGACTATATAGATCTGTATGCTGCGTACAGTGTCGGACTGGCCCGGTCGGCATATCGGCATTTGCCGACGGGGCCAACGGTCAAGCAGTAGAGATAAATCAAACCACCATCATAAAAATGTTGTTTACAATAATTCAACGAAATCTAGGAAATCTGGCAACATTGGTGCGTCTAGACGTAGTCTAGGCTGCTGAGACAATTTGTTCTACGTTGATACTTGTTTTTTTAGAAATTTCTGCAAATATGAAACTCTTTTAATATCATTTATCTTAATAAAAAAATTTGAATACGTGACTCCCGCCTCAAATTATCTTGAGACAGAAAGTATTGATTTTATCCAAGCATACCATTTGGTAACAAATCTAAAGCAATGCTAAATGAAATATATGACAAATTTTTAATTGTTAAAAAGACGAATGCATTTTTAAATTATTATATAAATCAAATTGAGACCATTAGAAACAAAGATATTGTAATTGAACATGAGCTGCCACAACAAAGGTTAAGAAAAAGGAAACGTATGGTAGGCGAAACAACTGAAGATTCCGTTATTATTGATTCAATGAAAAAATTTGAAGTATTTAAATCAGTAATTAATCAGGCAATTCAAAGTATAAGTCAGAGATCTGAAGCCAACAAACAAATGTATGAAGATTTTTCAGACCTTGACACCAGAAATTTTAAAAGCTTGGATTTATTAAGCGACTGATATTGCAGAAAGATTGGGATCGATAATGTAGAATTAAAAAATGAATTATTGAGTTTCAAACAAATATACCCGGATAATAAAAAAAAAGTAAAAACAGACCTCTGCATAAATAAGTCTGAAACAAATGAATGAGTAGGTTGGCGTACACTGTATTTTTAAAATTTTAAGGGAATACAATATGCATATATCCACTTTTTCAAATTTGTATATTGCTTATAAGCTTTTAATTACTTTGTCTTGTACCCTAGTGGCATGCGAACGAGTATTTTCTCTATTAAAAATAATTAAAAATAGACTTAGATCTTTGTTAGACCAAGAATTATTGCAGGCCCTAATATTAATGAATACGGAAAGAGACATCTTAAAAAGTATTAACCCAGAAAAAATTATCGATAAGTTAGCTTCCACAAGCTCAATTTATTATAATGCTTTGACTTTTTAAGCTTCGTTTTTTCTGATTGTGTATTCCTATCATTAATAGGCTAGTTTTTTTTTATTTTTGTTATGTTCTTTAAGAATGGTAGTTTTATTTTGTTTTGTGATTTTGTACGTGTACCTGTTTATTTTAATTATTTATGTCTGTTGACAACGTTATATTTTGTTATAGAAATTTTTAGTCAGATTTAGCCAGATTTAGTCAGATTTAGTCAAATAGTACTTACTTATTTGCATGCACTCCTATTTTTGACTATGTAATATTAATTTTCTTATTTGTTTGTTGTTTATAGAAGCCGGTTTTTTTTTTAATGTTAATTTGTGATTTTTTCCTTTTTTACTTTTATTTTTATTTGTTTTGGTTTTAATATCTAAAATTTTTTCGTTTTGTTGTTTATTTAAAAAACTAAAAATTTTATATATAAAAATTAACCTTTATTTTTTATTCATTACCTACACAGTATTTATATTATGTTTTAAACGCATAATTTTACAGTTTTTTTAGATTATTTGAAACGGTCGCAAAGTACTTGAAATTTTATGATTTTGGACTATCTATTTTAACACTACTTTTTAATATATAAATTCTAAATATTTTTGTCTTAAATGTGATTAATTACCTTTATGGGAATAATCGAGTAGGTCAAAGAAAGTAAGAGTAGGATGGGGCCATGGGCGCCCATAGGGAGGGGCAGGGGGGGCCACGGCCCCCCCCCCTGGCTTTTATGTTATATTACACATTTTAAACAAATAATGGCAGACCACTGTTTGCTGTAGTGTAACAATTATAATTGTCCACGGAACAGTAACGCATGATAAATAAATTAGGTTGTAATAAAAAAGAGTAGGTATTACAAGATGATTTGAAGCACAACTTTAACGAGATTTCAATAAAATTTGTACGAAAAATATCTTTTCTATCTTTGTATGTAATCATCATTTACATATAAAAAACCAAATTACTGTTACACATCCCCACAACACAAATACCAACTTAAATAACAGCTTGATGACATCAACGTGACGCTAGTCAACAATTTGTAACCACAGTTGCTCCCAAATATAGCTGACGCTTTTGATATTACTTTTGAATCGCCAAGGTTGGCCAAACGACAAACACAACGTGTCAATTACTTGGCTAATTCTGTACAGGATTATTTTAAGGTGTCTTTATTTATACCCTATATCGACTCATTTTTAAGTTCCATAAATAATAGATTTTCAGACGAAAATAATCCTAGCTTTTTTCTTTTCAATTTACATCCTGAAAATTTACTTAAATTAACCAAAGAAAAGTATCTGAAATCAATGAATGATATTTGTAAATTGTACGAGATAGAAAATTTAAAAGAAGAAGCACAGACATGGCACTATTTCTGGAAACATAAAGAAAACAGAATTGTTCTTTCAATGATTGACTTACTAGAATATTGTCAGTTTTACCCCGCCATTGCAAAAGCAATTAAAATTTCTTTATGCTTACCGCCCACAACATGTACTGTGGAGCGCTCATTTAGCACTCTTCGAAGAGTGAAAACTTGGATTAGGGCTACAATGAGCGAAAACCGTTTGGACGGTTTATGTATGCTAAGCGTTCATAGGCAAGTTATTCAGAAGGATAAAGAAATGTTTATAGAGAAGGTTATAAATGAATATGGTAAAACCAAAAGAAATCTTCAGTTTCTTTTTTCTGAGTGATGAGTCAACAATGTGTTTTTATAATTATATAATATATCTACTATTTTTTGAATAAAATTATTTAATATACCTACTTATATATTTTTTTGTTTTGCCCCCCCCCCTGGAATAACGCTTATGGGCGCCCATGGATGGGGCGCCAATTAATTGTGGTGCCGATGGGGCCAAATTTAGCCACTCCGAGCCTGGCTGCGTATAGTTTTTCAGTTGCTTTTAGATGTAACTTACTCTTCAAACAATGGTGAATTTTCAGCTTTTGCCGCTTCTTCTAATAATGTATAAAATATTTTAACTATATCGCTAAGGTAAAGGTTAGGTATAAACATAATAAAAAGTAAGCAGAAAAGAAAGTTTCAACATCTTAATCATAATTATTTGTGATTATGACAAGACTTTAAGTTTCCCTATTGCATACGGATTATTTGGGACATCAATAACCTCTTAGTTATTTTCGTTCTATACAGGGTGATTCATTACTAATTGGAAATATTTCAACTATAGAATCCTGAGCTCAAATTATGAAGATTTAACGCAAATCACCTAGATAAAATGTGTCTCCATTCTAAGTTACAGGGTGTTTTGTTTAAAAATTTAAAAATTATTTCTGTCCAGTACTTTAAAACCATTTGACGTATTATTGTCATATTTGACGGAAAGTGTAGATACTACACCCTACTAAATTATATTAAATAAACGTTTCTGGCTACCATCAGAGGCGTACGACAGGGGGAAGTGACTGGTTAATCCTTCCCAAATTCTACGACACTGGCATGATTGCAATTTTATCACAACTTTTCGATTCTCCAATACTTTCTACGTAAATATCATACTCTTTCTTCATCGCGATAAAGTTATTTTTCGAGATACCTATTCTAAATTAAACATGAAGGTTCACAATTATTTTGTTTTACATTAATTGAGTCAACTTTAAATTATTATTGTAAACGCTTTGTATTGCCGAGTGGCACAATTTTTTGTATGTTTCGCATTTCAAGATTAGTAAAATTGTTGTGCTGCGGCATTTTCATTTAATCGATTTTTTAAATTTTACATTCATCGCAATCTTAAGTGTCAGTAATAACTAACAGCAATGACAGCATCCTACTAGTTCAAAACAATTAAGTCAGACCAGAGCCAACTACACAAAACCTAAGCTTATTTTAAATATTATTATGTCATACTATGAAAGCATGTTTCCCGCGAAATATGACAATAATACGTCAAATAGTTTTAAAGTAGGTACTGGGCACAAATAATTTTTAAATGAAACACCGTGTAACTCAAACAGGAGACACATGTTTGTTTATACTGATTAAAGTTTAATTCGCGTAATAAATGCAATCCATGTCCCAAAACACCGACATACCTAATTATTAACATAACACATTAAAATCAAAATAGTACAATATTTACGTAAAAAGTATTGGAGAGTCGAAAAATTGTGATAAAATTACAAGTCCGCCAGTGGCGTAGAATTTGGAAAGAAATAACCAGTCACTTGCCCCTGTCGTACGCCTCTGATGGTAGACAGAAACGTTTATTTACCATAATTTAGTAGGGTGTATAGTATCTACACTTCCCACCAAATATGACAAATACGTCAAATAGTTTTAGAGTACTGGACATAAATAATTTTTAAATTTTTAAACGAAACCCTCTGTAACTGAGAATGGAGACACATTTTATTTAGATGATTTTGGTTAAATCTTTATAAATTGAGCTCAGGATGATTCTATAGTTAAAATATTTCCAATTAGTAATAAATCACCATGTATAATGTTATTACCACATTTATTTGAAACATTATTCCAATAAAACCTCTTTAATAATGTGACAGCATAGTAAGTAAGAGAGGACTAAACCATTTAAATTAGTTCTGTAATCATTTGTAAGTGACATTTCTATTATTGATGCTTCGAGACGAGACGAGACGAGACGAGACGAGAGAGGCCTCTCTCGTCTCATCTCATCTTGTAGGGCGAGAGAAAATGGTTCTCTCGTCTCGACGAGAGAGCTTTTCTCTCGTCTCGTTTCTCTTGTGATAAAAACATCAAATTAAATTTGGAAAAGATATACTTATGACGAAACATGAAAAAATTGTAAAATTTTTAAGACAAAAACACAGATTAGGATAAAATATGAAAAAACTGTAAAATTTTTAAGACAAAAGCAAAAAATTTTTCAAGTAATTTGTCTCATTAGTACCCTAATTGGCAGTAAGAAACTCTTACAGAATCACCTCGGTGTCTCTGTCTGTCCGTCTGTCACAGTCATTTTACTAAGAGACTATTTGACATACACAATTGAAATTTAAAGTAATCAGTGGCCCAAATTAGGCGTTAACTAAAAATATGAATACTTTGCCTTGAAAATAAGTTCGGGGGGGAGGGGTTTAATTGAAAGTTAGATTGTTTATGTAAATTGCGCAAGGGAGCTCGAGAGAAACGAGAAATTCTCGTCGAAAGAAACGCTCTCTCGTCTCGTCGAGACGAAACGAGACAAGACGAGACGAGAGACGAGAATTTTTCGTCTCGCGGCATCACTATTATAATAATTTCCTTTTTTAAACATTTTCTTTCTATAGACTTTCTGGGTAATTTTTAGAAAATAAGATTTAGTCGGTAATTTAAACTAAATTATTTTTTGTTATTAATCTTATATTTTCAAATATTTCAGCCCCAACTGGACGGCCTTCTTCAGTGGTTTTGTCTTATTTTTTGTTTTATAATTTATTAATATTTTTTAAAAAAATTGGGTTTGGCTCTTGGTGTTAGGGCAGTTCGGGTTTAGATATTGAGACCAAAATTGGTATATGGGTGCATTTTCCGATAAATTAGAAAATCGCATTAAAAAATCCCGCCCCCACCTCTAGCTCAATAAAACAGAATCTACTATTTTTTTACATTGAAACCCAGTTTCAAATTCTGATATTTTGAAAAATTTTGATAAAATTTTTTCAAAAATTCTATCTGGTTTCCTACCAATATGATGGGTGTAGGTGCCAAAACAACCATGTCCATTCAAAAGCGCTGTCATGTGGCAGTCTTAAATTGGTGCTCTAGCCACGTCTCCAGTTTTTATGGTCCATTGAGCTACCGGTTCAAGTTCTGCCCGTTTACGCATCCACCATTGATTGGTTTCTGCCTTTTGTTCCTTCTTTATCTGTCTCTGTTGGCCTCCTAATTCTATAAAGCCTACCCATCTCCTCTATATGTAAGCCTGTTCCACCAGTTTCGCTAATCATCACTAACACCTCTAGTAAAATCGTCCTGTAAGCGCAAATAACTCATAATAACTGTTAACTAACACTATTTGTCATTTTCTTATTCTTCTTTTTAACCAACACATTATATTACAACTTTTGTTTAACTATATTAATTAACTTGTTATAAGAATTATTTAGAAAAACATTGAAAACAGAACATGTCAGAACTTTTTCCCTTTTATCTTTCCCATACCTTTCGGTTTTTATCTGTGCCTATAGGACCTTCCACAAGAAATTTAACCACTATAATTGGCAACACTGCCACCAATTTAATTTCACCATTTTACAAATGATTCCTATGCCTTAAGTATAATACGACGATATCGTATGGGCACAGGGCATAGTAAATGTGTGCCTCTGTTGTTTTCTCTCTCATTATGATGCGAAAAACAAGAACAACGACAATATCGCTTAGCAGGAGATGAACACATGCGATGGATTATATGTCACAAGTGGGGCGCTGTCCTAATCGTAACGTGCTGTACCCATGGCACAGATTACCTAGACCCACATACTTTGATTACTATACGGGGCAAGAGAGAGATCCGACACGCCCAACATAGGGCGCGGCCATTTTGAACCCTATGACACAGTTTATAGCTAAAGAATCAGATCGCTCACTCTGCGTCGGCACTTTTTATCTCAATGTTCCAGTTTATACACTGCGCAATTCAGATAATACAATATATGACCTTCGAAACCATTAAATTTTTTCCTGTGACGTACTTCTGCAAAACCACATGTGGCATTTTGCATTTATTAAAGAAAGATGCATTCCTTTCTCCATATTAGCTTTTAAGGAGCTCCAACATTTCCTGCTGTTTTCCTTTTTTTCATTCTTTATCTCTTCTCTACCCTTCGATCTCCTCATCTTTCCTCCATATCTCCCTTTTCTTTTATCTTGTCACTTGCTGCTATCTTTTATTCCTTCTCAATCCTTCTTGTCATCCCATTTCACCCCCTCTTGTTAATTCCTAACTCTCTCCACAACTTTCCGATTGTTCACATTCATATTGCACTTTTGTGCTTACATTATGCATCCTTTTGATATGTTCCCTTCCTCCTCTGCGCTTCTATCCAACATAATACGCCACTCTCCTTCTTTCTCTTTACAACACTCACTTTTCTCCACACTCCTCTTACCCCAATTGCTCATAGAACTGATCCCTAGTAGTCTTTTAATTTGTTATTTTATCAGATAGTACTTTCTCCAGGATACCGGGAATCGGTTCTATTAACTATCATTTACTCTTCCCTTCCTCTCCAATAACTCGAGTTAACTCCTTACCTCACCTTCCCCCTACAATTTACAACCTTCTATTTTTAACCTGTGCTTCTGAACATTAATTCTTTTGGTTTGGGTCTATCATACTTAAGGATTTTTTCAATTACCCACCATCAGACAATTTCTGGACTAAAACATTCTGGATATTTGATCTAAGACTCACTTTTCTCTTTTTTTATATAACAATTTTCTTGGTAAACCACTATTTTTTTTATAATTTCAATCTTCCATCTTCCTCTATAACACATATTTTTAGGCCTAATGATGGTCCATAGAGGCCGAAACTAGTCGCCGCTTGACAAAAATAAAATACTGTGGTAAATGGCTTTTAGTTTTTTCTCCTTATAAAGGATTGACACATTAGTGTTCATAGCTCATCCCTCAAATCTTAATCTTGAACCAAAAATCAGAAAAAAATAGCTTTAAATATGGAAAACCCATTTTTGATAAAATTATATCAAAAAAATATAATACAGTAATTAAACAAATAGATATTAAATGAAAATTCTTAAGAAAATTAAAACGTAACCACTGAAGGAATCCGTCCAATTGGGGGCAAAAGATCTTAGAATATGAAATAGAAGGGAAAAATGAATTTTAATTGGTAAATACTATTCCCAAGAGTTTACCCAAAAAGTCTACTCATTATATCAGTGTAAAAACAGAGCATAGTGTCGCGTTACCCGTTTAATTATAGTGTAGTTAACTCTTTATCAAACCCTAAGATACACTGGGTATTGATCAAAACCTTAGTGAAAGATTCAATTATTGTTAATTTAAAGAATACAGAAATAATACCCGATTATAAATCGAAAAGTTTGCACAAACTTTGAATTCTCCATTTAGGTGAAAATAACCATTCACATTTCTCAGTGTAGTTTAGAGTTTCCACATGAGATTTCTACCACTGCCTAAAGAGCTCCAAATATGGTGTAACGAATCGTAGAATGACATGTTCCTTGAATATCAAATCAAATATTCTGTTAACATTTTCTTTCGGCAAAAAATATTTAGATAAATATTCACTTTAATGGGTTGGATCATTTCTGCATAATAAGATCTAAATATTGTTTAACGACTGGTAACCTTTAATAATTTATGTTTTATTAATAATATTTAATAGTCATTTATCTTGTTTAGATAATATTTATTACAAATTACAAATCTTTCATAATTTTATAGAACTTATTTGCAATTAAGTTTTTAATGACAAATGATTAAGTATTCTTAATATCTTCGGTAACTATATTCTTAGATAATAATTAATAATGTTAATAGGCATAACTAATAGATATTATATACCAACATGATATATTTTTTGTTATTTAGCTCCATATTGAAATTTAAACAAGAAGAATTCCTTCGAAATAAGCATAAACTAATTTTAATATTTCTCATTTCTTACTAAATTAATAAACAATAATAACGTATAACTTACATTCTAAAAATTAAACTTGTCTTCTTGACAAGAAACTTTGATTTGAAATAGATTCAGTCTAATTTTAGAATATTACCAGTTATCCTTCCTATAAATGCAGGTTCATTCCACATATTTTTACTGATACGAGTATATCACTTCACTCGAGTTGTTTATTGACTTCGATCGGTGTATTTTTATTCAGTAGGTATCTATTACAAGTCCTTGCCGTTTTATAATTAGCCATCACGATCAACAACGAAAATAATGACCAGACTATTTATGGGCGGTGTATCTATTTGTTTCAGACCCCGTTTGGACCAAGCAGTTTCGCCGATCTGCTGAATGCACCCTTTTCAGACGATCCTACTTCAGCCTTAGCTTCGGAAGAACTCAATCCTTTCGCCGACGTAACTCTACACTCACAGCCTTCATCGCCCCTCCCACTACCTAGTTTTCAAGAAACTTATTCAGTTCGATACCAATCACCATTCAAGATGGACGAAGAGTGCTTCAACGTTTCCTATCAACAGCATCACTACGATTACTCTCAGCAGCAGTATCCGACTGCCAGTCCTTACTATCCTCCTCCGCCCAGCTTTGAGGCTCACCTATCCCAGCAGGAATCATACTCCCTACCTGTCTACTCGTCGTCAGAACTACACGTCACCACAACTTTAAGTAAATCACGCAGAGCGTCGCTACCTTTGCAAAGGTCGGAATCCACGAGCAGTAGCGAAAGTCCAAAGTTACGCATAGGTCCAACAACGTCTACGTGTTCTTCGGCTTCAAGTAGCCCAGGAGGAATTCCAGAGTCTTCATCTAAAGGTCCCACCCCACCTTCGCCGTCCCAACTTTGTGCTGTTTGTGGTGACACGGCAGCCTGTCAACACTACGGAGTGAGAACGTGTGAAGGCTGCAAAGGTTTCTTTAAACGTACAGTGCAGAAAGGTTCGAAATACGTTTGTTTAGCAGATAAAGCGTGTCCAGTAGATAAGCGAAGAAGGAATAGGTGCCAGTTTTGTAGGTTTCAGAAATGCCTTGCCGTAGGAATGGTTAAAGAAGTAGTGCGTACAGATTCTTTAAAAGGTAGAAGAGGTCGATTGCCTTCTAAACCAAAATCACCTCAAGAATCTCCTCCAAGTCCGCCCGTTTCTTTGATAACAGCTTTAGTCCGAGCCCATGTAGATACCACACCTGACTTAGCCAATTTAGATTATTCGCAATATTTGGAACCCAGTCCGATTGAGCCGATTGTGTCTGAAGCGGAAAAGATCCAGCAATTTTACACCTTATTAACAACTTCAGTTGATGTAATACGACATTTTGCTGATAAGATACCAGGATTTCAAGACATACGTTTAGAAGACAGAGAACTCCTTTTCCAATCCGCTTCCTTGGAACTTTTCGTTTTAAGATTGGCGTATCGAACGCATCCAAATGATTCTAAATTAACTTTTTGTAACGGAGTTGTGTTAGATATGCAACAGTGTCAAAGGTCCTTCGGTGATTGGCTGAATTCTATTTTAGAATTTTGTGCCGGACTACATGTCATGGAAATAGATATATCGGCTTTTGCGTGTCTTTGTGCTCTTACATTAATAACAGGTGAGTTTTTATAATTATTTTTACTGTTAAAAAAATGTTTCAATTACAACAATTTTTATTTATTAAGACTGGTTGCTTTTGTAGTATTAATCTTGAAAAAATGGGTAACAGTATGTTATAGCCATAGAAAAAGTATATTGTACAACTCGCAAGGAATGCTCGTTAAACAATATATTTTAGATCCCTCTTTCAAAATAAAAAAGAATATGTTTTGCCATTTTTCGAAAATCCAGTTAAAGATATCTCAAAAAAATCAATATGGCCGCCATAGCCCTCCTGGAGCTGTCCTTGTTGGTAGGTACCTATATTTAGATTTTATTTCAAAATGTAATGGCCGGTTATTATACCAGGTGTCCACACAAAAACTAAATATTGAATTTTGAAGATAAAATCTTAGATTTTTTAAAATTTTGGTTGGTTGTTTATTATAAAGAAGGACAATGGACAGTATATCTCATACAGCCTCATCCGGTCATCCTCCGTCCTCAGCCACCCCCACTTCAAGAAATTAAATCACACACTATTTTTTTATTGACAGTACGTCCCCCACATATTATAACCTATTTTTTTAAAGCTGCCGGGCCCACCTAGGGCCGGGCCTCGGGGATATTGCCTCCCCACGTCTCTCTCGTCGGGCTTCTATGTGAAAAAACAAGTTACATATCATTAAATTTATGAAATATTTAAAGTTAAAGGTATCTGATTTTAGAAATTATTATTATCTTCGAAAAATCATATGTTAGCCAATTTTCCATTAGAAAATTTAAAGCTAGCAACTATCTTACGTGTCTCAAGTAAAGTGCATCTCGTTATAACAAAAATATAATATCTCTTGAGTTTTACCTCGTTTTTGTTTTGTTATTATCCTTTTTCATTTAGAAGTTAAAATAGAGGAGGGTACAATTTTCGTTCTCACTGTATATAATACATTCGTTTGTATTACCTTTTCTTTGACAGTTTTTCGAAAAAACGATTAAAAATGTTCAATTTATCTTCAAAGGTAACTTCAGAAAAGCAGAATGGATTAAATATAAGAAATGATTGTATAAATTTTAAATAAATGAAATGAGAAATAATTTTTCTTACAGATCACTATTTATAAAATCCTAATACCACAAGTATCATTTGTTACCATTTCATATATACAGTTAATTTTTTTGACTATCTCGAAATATAATATTTTAAAATTTTAAGTTACGATAACCAATTGAAAATTTCAAATAAGCAAAGAGAAAATTGTTCTAGAGAGTCTGAGAGAGCTCGAGAGAAACGAGAAAATCTCGTCGAGAGATGATACTCTCTCGTCTCGTCTCGAATCTGTTTTCGAGAGAAAATGTATCTCTCGTCTCGTTCGATACGAGACAAGACAAGACGAGAGACGAGAATCTCTCGTCTCACGGCATCACTAGTATCCCCAAGACATTGGATACGGCGTATGGGCTGAATGGCCAGCTCGCTCCCCCGATTTGTCTCCCCTGTAGATTTCTTTTTGTGACAATATTATTTGTAGTCTGTGGTTTATAAGACACCTTTAACTTTAAATATCTCAACGTAGGAGGGCCACTTTTAATTTTTTTTATACCCAAAATTGCGTCCTGTGTTGGAAGTTTCTTGTTCAAACAGAATTCCGTATTTGAACAAGAAAATTTAAAATTCCATGTTCGGAAATATAATTCTGTTTTCGAGCTATACATTTTAATGCTATAATTACAGATAACTCTTGGAGGACTTGGGAAGGGTTGGGTAAAAACAGTTTTATTTTTGAATACTTTTGGAAAGGGACTTTCGTAAGTAGGTAGTAGCAAAAGCCTTGCCCTCTTTAGTCCCTGCATAATATTAGGTTTGTTCCGACTTGGTGTTTGGTACCATTTTTGTATCATACCAATATCGGTTCTTGAACGCAAGCGCATCTTGGAATGGTTTTGGAATCGGAAATGAGTTGGAACGCTTTTAAAACTGTTGATGGTCTATAACTAGAGATAATAAAAGGGGAAGAAAATTCTAACCAAACTTTTGAAAGCAAAATAAAGGTTTCCTGTTTTATTGATGTTGTTAATGATTTTTTATTTTATCATTCTAGATTTTAGGGCACAATGGAAAACCACTATCAACATATATCAATCGTTCTGCGCAAGTCAGGCCTAACAGTTCCACAAAAATTTGTGCATCGATATGACGGTACAGAAAATCATCCATTTTTTAGTTGGAACAAATTCTGTATCAACCCGCATATCATACAAATTAAGTTGGAACGCTAGAAATGTAATACGCATGCCGTGTACGGTTACTAAATAGTTTTGTATCGAGTTGGAACAAACCTATGATTCCTTCACTCTTATAGTTCTTATGGTCTAGTACCGAATTTCATTTGGATCTAATCAAAATTATGCCCTGTATAGCGTTTTAAATTTTCCCTCCTTCCCACCCTATAGTTCAGAAGATGAGAGAGGGGTAAAGTGAGGGGTTGTTATCTAAATGCTTTTAAGCAATTAGTTTGTTAATCTATAGAAAAAAGTGAAGAAGTGGGGGACCGATTAAGAATTTTTTGCTTGTGTCTCTTTTAAATGACACTATCAAAAATGGTGTTGCTATTTAAAAAAACTGGTAATGACGTCATAAAAACTATACTTATATACCAAAAATATGCGCATCTAAAAAACAAAATCCACTTCTTAATGGAAATTCCATCTTGTATAGGAACCAAAGGTGAAACGTTTCGGTGTCAATAATTTTCCCACTCTCCACTCTCCCCTTAAAACTAAATTTTAAATTAAATCTTTCAAGAAGAGTATTTGGGATTAAAACCTAAGAATTTTGAGCTCGAATATAGAATTTCGTATTAGAACCAGGATTACAAAAAAACCTAAGAATTTAAAAAATATAAAAGTAGGTTTTTAGGTTATTTAGAATATTTAAGGTTTTTTAAGGTTTTAAAAAATATAAAAGTAGGTTTTTAGGTTATTTAGAATATTTAAGGTTTTTTAAGTTTCATTTAAGGTTTGATGTTTTTTAAGGTTTTATAGGTTTTTAAAATTTTATAGGTTTTTAATGGTTTTTATAGGTTTTTAAGGGTTTTTATAGGTTTTTAAGGTTTTATAGACTGATTTAGGTTCTATAGTAATTTAATGTTTTTAGTTCATGTACCTATGTCAAAAGTTATTACTAATAAAATTAACTTAAAAATACTGGTCCCAAGAAAAATAGAAATTTATTTTATTAAAAATTCCGTAAACAAAAAACTAAAAATGTCCAAACATAAATAAAAGGTATGTTTTTAAATTGTCACTATCGTTAATATCAATATCAAGAAGAAGTGGTATAATATTTAATGAAATGTTTGTATTTGTATTTGTACACTCATTTTTACTCCCAAAAGTTGATTAGTAAAATTGGGAATTTTAATATGTACCTTAAAAACCTAAAAAACCTAAAACTGACAAATTTTCACTTTTCCTGATTATTGCTACCATCAGGTGCGATTTGCACAATATATAAGTTATGATTGTAATAATTTTAAATGAGTAAAAAATTAAGAAACAAGCTGAAAAAACCGGTGCATCATAAAGCAGCAGCAATCTCCCCACCTAAACCGCCTGGAAGTCGGCAATTAAAATTTTAAAATTGAATTTTTTATTGTTTCTCATTTATATCTACATGACTTTCCACTAAAGGTAGATCCTAGTCAAAACAAAAAAAATAATTTGTACTATTCATGAAATATCTCCAATATGGTCCATTCTATGGATATTATGTGTATAACAAAAATCATAGAAAACAAGAAATTGAAAACATTTTTAAAAACAAGTTTTTATGAGTCCGCCATATTGAGTGACATTATTTTATTTTCGCATTCTTCTTAGCAAACCCTTTCATTTGATACCCATATCATGATGATATATAAGAAAATTTTGTTTGTTATCATGGGGCGTCCGCCATTTGAATTTGGTGTGACTTCATTCTACATTATTTTTCGTATTCTCAACGAACCCTTTTAATTGATTCTCATGAATTTAGAACGAGGTCCCTTAGATAACGTTACCATTCTGTTATGTGATGCTGATGTTCCGTATAGTGCGAATTGATCATTAGGCTGTTGTGGCATTTAGAATTACAAAGTTTGCCAGATATTTTACAGTTTCACTTATCAGACTTTTATTGTCCCTTGGAAAACCATCGCTTATATCCCTGATCTCCGAAAAAAGAAGATTTTTGACACATTCTCGAAGTGACATTGCTACATCTAAAACATTGTCCTGCACAAAAATAAATTGTTTTTCACAAATTGATTTAAGGAAAAACAACTACTAGACTAATTTTGTTTAAAATAATTGAACGGTGTTACCCACGTTAATGGCAAATTATTATGAGAGAGGAAGGGAGAGTTTAGGGTTATAATTCGGAATAAATCTACCATAATATTCTAAAACGCACTAATGGCATTCAAAATTACATTAAGCAAGTATATTTGCATTCTTGATTCCAGTTATTATCAGTTTAATTTATTTTTCTCGTTGCAACTATCATGGTTGAAAGTGATTTCCAGAAAATTACTTAATTTAAGTATGGCAGCAAGCAAGCAAACAAGCAAGCGTCATAGTCGTAAGTACTGATTACTGATTCATTCATAAGACGCGTGCTAGTACCCACTATAAACAAGTTCGCACAAACTATCCCCACTCAATTTAGCAACGTCTCGTTCTTTCGCACAGTCTGAATGATTGTAACAAATAAGGGCTTAATTATTAATTAATGGATTAGTCTTGTAGTGTTTCGTCATTGGTTATAATTTAACACACTTCCAAGAATTTTTTAAATGAATATGATATTTATCTGTCGAAACGAGCCCACGTATGAAACATAAAATAATTCATACATTACTTGAATGTGGATTTCTTGTATTTTTATGCATTTTAATGCCATTTAAAATTATATTTAATCACGAATCTCCTTAGTAACAAGGTAATTTAGAATGGATCGCCTACAATTCAAAACAGAACGTT